CATCATTACCAGCTAGGACGTCATGATGGTGTCCCGTCTGCACATGCAATTACAACATGGGTGCATAATTTTGAAGAAATGGATTCAGCCTTAAAAAAGAATCCCTCAGGTGGAGTTTGAACGGCCTGCACACCAAGGATATTGAGCCTGCTGGAGCTGCCAGCATAAGGAGCTCTTGCTGCTCTGTTCAACAGCACACATCATCACTACACTTGGGGCAACAAAGCATGCAAAGAATACTGCACGAGTTCAAGTTCCATCCCTACAAATTGCAGAACTCAATCCCAATGACCACATGTTGCATCAACAGTTTTGTGAACAATTCCTGGCTAAAGTAAACAAGGATGCTAATTTCATTTCACATAATAGTGACATTCCATGGCCTCCAAGATCCCCAGCTCTCACTTCCTGTAATTTTTTTCTGTGGGGGCATCTTAAGTGTACTACACACGTCCTGCAACCATTGCTGAACTAAAAAGGAGGATCAAAGAGGAAATCACTGGCATTCCTCTTGACATGTTATGTTGAGCAATACAGAATTTCTACAACAGGCTGTCAGAATGTGTGTGGAGAAATGAACCACACCTTCATGATGTTATCTTCAAGACATAAAATGAATATTGATTGCCATGATTAATTGCATATCCTGTACAATACATTTCATCATAAAGTGTATTTTGTAGTGTGTTTCTTTGTGCATTGAACGACAATTGAAAATTTCCCATTTCCCTGTGCCACCCTGTTATTAAAGACTGTTCCAGTACAAAAATCTGTGTAATAACCTCCTCCCCAAAAGAAACAACACCTGGTCATCAGAAAAACCTGTGCTTAAGAGAATATTAGCTATGTTGCAAATTGGTCCTTCGTTTGAAGCACATATCTGACTAATCTGAATTATGATCAAATGGTATATGTGATTCACAGGCCTACTCTATTAGGTAAATCAGTCCCCAGAATAATTTAGTAATGTTTTGATCTCTGTAGATGCTGGAGTATCAATCGCTGACCGGGAGGCTAGTTTGGAGCTAATAAAATTGGATATATCACGCACATTTCCATCCCTTTATATTTTTCAGAAGGTAATTTTTCACTTGATTCCAAGATAAGTACATTTAAATTGTTAGATCATTTTGCCCATTGTATTTGCTAAAACAATAAATCTGTTCATGAAAGCTTTTTTTAGTATTGCCTTTGTCATGGTTTTGTGCAGTAGATAAATTCCATATTTCATTAACAAGAGTTTAGCTTAAAATAAGTAGAAAATACAGTTGCTTAACCTCAACTGTATAATTTCATCCTGTGCTGCTATGTGATCCAGGGAACTGCATGACTACTTTTACAACATAGTTACAGAGGAAATTATACTTACAGGGAAAATATTTTACTGCTGCGTTTCAAGGAATTAAACACTTAAAATGTTCTATCAGTGCAGATACCATTGCAGTGGATCATTTAGCTTTGTTTTTCTCGAACAGGGAGGAAGTGAAAACTGATAGTAAGTTGGTAATGCATTTTCCAGAAAGAAGAATGCTGTGAAGGTCTTGATTTGCTATAGTTTCTCTGCTAAAAAGGGATAGCCCTAATTAGTGTGATTATGTTCTTCACTGGGGAAACACAGAATGTTTTGAAAGACGTGAGTCTTTCCTTCTGTGCATAGCACAATTATTGCAGTGAAGAATCACCTGGTTAGCTGGAGGTGATTCTTCATTGCTGGCAACTGAGAAGTGGCATTCTGTAAACCAGTTCTAAAGTTTCTGTAAGGCAATTTGAATAGCAAGTGAAACTTACAGACCAGTTTATTGTTTACAGAGATCTGCAGATGGAGAGGTATTTTGCATTTTAAAAGAAAATATTAAAAAGCCCATATCATGTGATACATATAAATAAATCTTAACTGTTTGGCAATGCAAAGTAAGGCCATATGTACAGTGGTACCTTGGCTCATGAACACCTCAGTTCACGACCAAATCGGGTCGCAAACAGAAATTTCAGAAAAAAATTGCCTCAGGTAGTGAACTCTGCATCAGGCGATGATCGCGATCACACCCATCTTCCTTGCACGGGTGCGATCATGGTATGCTTATGGGGGGGAGATGGCCGCAATCGTGCCTGTTTTCCCTACGTGAGCACGACCACAATCACGGCCATCTTCCCTTCCCCAAGCACGACCGCGGTAGCGCCTCTCTTCCCTGCACGAGTGTGACCGCAATCACAACCATAGATGGGTGCAGGGAAGACAGGTGCGATCGTGGTTGTGCTCGGGGGAGGAGATGGCCACGATCGTGCTTGGGGGTGAGATGGCCATGATCATGCCCGTCTTTCCCTGCCCGAGTGCAACCACGATTGAGCCCATCTATGGTTGCAGTCGTGCTTGGGCAGGGAAGACAAGCATGATCGTGGTCGTTTTGGGGGGGGGGGAGATGGCTGTGATCATTGTTGTTCTTTGTTACTTTGTTTCAATTTTTTTGTGATTAAATAAAATGGTTACAGAACGAATTAACCTTATTTACATTGAACCTTATGGGGAAATTTGACTTGGGTCACGACCAGTTTGGGTCAAGACCAGAGTCATGGAACAAATTAAGTTTGTGAGCTAAGGTACCACTGTATTTGTGGTGGGAATACTTTCCAGTGTTCCAATTCCATTTTACTAATGAATACAGGAGGAAACTAATAATGATCAGTCCTCTATTCCAAAATTATTTGTCTGAACATTACATACACATTAGACCAGGCTTTTTCTCTTTTTTTCTTACTTTTCATACTGACCTCTTTTAACAGACTATGCCATATGCTGCTTTTTAAAATCAGGGGCCTTCAAATGCAATTTGTGATTGTGGTGATGGTGATATAAAAGTCTTACTGGCTCTGTGCAAGCCATTCTCTAAAAATTTTGCTAGAAGCTTAATTATTGCAGATCTAATGTTGAGTTTTGTCAGTACTGAGTTGTATTGGCAGTACATGCAATCACGAGAGTATGAGGTGAAATCAATCCAGTTTAACTGTACAGTTTGGAACTATGATAGTTATGATTAAGCTTAAGATTAAGCAGTGGCAATGCTATCTGTTTTCGTAAGCATGAACACTTTTAGCAGGTACAGCTCATTGACCTATTGCTTGAAAGTGCTACAGTTGGAACAGAAAACACACACATGCACACACATTCATACGTATCTGTGAACACTGTGGTTTCTGAGCCTTTTGGAACAGTTAAAGTTGCATGTAGCCAGGAATATGTATACCATTAGGAAATCCAGTGGTACTGTCCAATATGGAAGCAACCCATTTTTATAACATTGCTGGATTAAAACTAGTGTTTTATGTATCTTTACTTTAAAAAAAATTGTAACTGAAGTTCGTGGCCATGAATCAATGGAAGGAGGTGTTTGTATTGAGCATTAGTTATAACTTTATGTTTTGTATTCATGTAATTATAAAAACTAAGTGAACTAACATTGGATTGCAGTCATGTTTGGGTTGTAGCACATTAGAAGTAGAGCAGTTCTTTTAGATTTACTGTAATTTTAATGCTCCTCTTGTACTAATGCCCATTTTTGTCTACTGTTTTACACTAGGGTGGCCCTTATCATGATCTTTTGCACAGTGTCTTGGGAGCATATACATGTTACCGACCTGATGTAGGATACGTAAGTTTCTGCCCAGTATTGCAGTACTTTAATTAAGATGATGGAGTATAGGTGTAGAACTTACAAAATTTCTGAAAAAGAAGACTGAGTGAACTATGTCAATAAAGATTGACAGTGACACCAGCAGAAGAAATATAAGTTCTTACTGTTGCATCTGTGCTACAGCTCACTCAACAGTAGCACTGTGAGATATTTCATATTAAAGGTATGAAATCTCTAATGATGTAAACTGACACACATTGGCTTGGGCCTAAGCTCTACCAAATTGGATTTTCCAGTAAATGTGCATAGGATGGCACTACTTCACAAAATTTTCCTTGGACCAGTGAAGGGAGGAAATACCTGTTTGGATTATGCACCTGCTTGTTCATCGTAGCTTCCTTATAATGGTATAAAAAGATGTAAGCAATTTGTACTCATGATGATATGTACTCTTTCCATTCTGTATGGAAGTTTGCACAAATGTAGCAGGTCTAAGTTACGTTTCTTCACACGTGCTTTGACCTTTTAAATCATGGGACCTCAAACTACGGCCCGGGGGCCGGATCCAACCCACCATGCCCATTTATCCGGCCTGCCATGTCCATTTGGACCTGCTGCGCCCGTGCCTGCCGCTGCCCACCTCGCCCCATACATGGGGTGGCAGCGGTTTGCTAACTCAGAGAAAATGATCTCCAAGCAAGCAAGCTGCTGCCTCGTGCGCCCGCCTCGTGATGCGTGACTGCCCCCACCTCGTCCTGCCCTGCACATCCGCCCGCGCCTCATCCCACGCCGCACCCCCGTCTCAGTGCGCGTGCCCGCACGTGCTGCCCCCACCCCCTCGCTGGCCCGTGCGCTCTGCTGGCACCACCTTTTCAGCCCACACCCAGCACCAGCACCTTTCAACTGGCCCCCTGGTGAAAATGTTTGAGGACCCCTGTTTTAAATGCTCAATTTAGAACTGAATTTAACATTTCCATAATACATTGCTCTACTTTTTGTTGTAGTAATAATATAATAATAAATTAGTTTTTAACACAATCACAGCTTATAAATATTTGTCTAACATAAAAACTGAGGATGTGTTTATGTTTGCACTTTGGAGGTCCAGGGAATGTCCTTCATTGCTGCAGTCCTCATTCTCAATTTGGAAGAGGCAGATGCTTTCATTGCCTTTGCAAACCTCCTGAATAAGCCATGCCAGCTGGCCTTTTTCCGTGTGGATCACAGCATGGTAAGTTTATCATTCCAAAGTGCTATAACTTATCATTTCTACATTTTAATGGGCATTAGATGTTACTCAATGCAATTTCTGCTTTTCTAAGGATTAGTGCTTTTCATTCATACTTTACACTGATATACTTGCAGCTCTAGAATTATATCAGTGGAAACTACACTGGTGGAATTTTGCTGTCCCTTCACTGAGCTTACAACTGAATTGCAGTAGTTTCTGATACTGTTTTTCATTTACTTTGAGATAATGGATAATCACAGCCAGTCTTTTTAGAGTAGAACTGTAAGGGAAAAAGGGCACACTAATACATGACTTAGTTATAAATTGTGGTAGTTGTGAGGATAAAATGGAACAGGAGGTTTATGTAAGCTGTGTTGAATTCCTTGTAGGAAAAAAGGCAGGATATACATATAATAAACAAATACATCAATATTCAATATGCTAGTAATTGCCTTTAAAAGTTTCAGTGGCTTTTGTTCAGAATACAGAGTCTTGTCTCCTTTCATATCAGTCTGCCCACCCCTAAGATCAGTGAACATATTTGATTGTGGTTTAATATTTTTGTGAACCATTCCTGAGAGAGCTATTGGCCTGAGAAGATACAATATAAATATAAAAAATAAAATGTTTGCTACTGTCTACACAGCCACAGAATTTAGGTACTGGAGAAATTAATGCTGGATGTTTGACTGTTATATTTATTGCTGGAGAAATGCAAAGATTGGCTAAGGACAATTACACTGGAAGTTTAGTGTTTTGTCCATATCTAAACCACCAGAATGTGTTCTGTAGTCTGCTTATAGTTGTCTGGAGGCTCCAGTGTTTGCAGCATTCCTCTTTTTCTGAACTGGACTATTCTTAAGTGATTTTATCTTCTTCTTTACAGATGCTAAAGTACTTTGCAGCATTTGAAGTATTTTTTGAGGAAAACCTCCCCAAATTGTTCCATCATTTTAAATCCTATAATCTTACCCCTGACATATACTTGATAGATTGGTAAGTTTAAAGATTAGTTTAATATATTCCTTTTTATAACATGGTCACAAGCTAAATTGAGGAGTTTGCAGATGAAGTTTGAAGATGTGGAAAGATCTTAATGGGCTCTCTAGAAATCTTTTATTACTTGTGGTTGAGATCCAGTAGTCAGAGTATGGTGGGAGCAGAATTTTTATTTGGTTGTGATGTGGGTGCATAAATAGGATGTATCCAAGCTGATGTGAGTAGAACTCTAATTAATCCAATGTGGCTTTCCTGCTCCTTTCTCTTTGTTGCTCTTCAATGCTATGCATGTGCTGCACCCCCTGCAAGGAAGGCCTAAAATGTGGTGGAATGTGGTGGGTGGTGGCTGCCGTGAGGAGGAGGTATCTGCTAAAATCATGGCAGATCAGCTTGTGTAAGTGAGATGTCTATTGGTGTTGGCTTCCCAAATTGAATTCATTATTGGGCTTCTAAATAAATTGATCACTCATACTGGAGGAGAACATAGAGGGCATGTGCTTTGTCCTCCTATGCCTGATGCTTATTTCAAATACAGGATCTTCACCCTGTACAGCAAGTCTCTACCACTTGATCTGGCCTGTCGAGTCTGGGATGTCTTTTGTAGAGATGGAGAAGAATTTTTGTTCAGAACTGGGTTAGGAATTCTTAGATTATATGAAGATATCCTCCTGCAGATGGACTTCATTCATATAGCACAGTTTTTAACAAAGCTACCTGAAGATATCACCTCGGAGAAGCTCTTCACTTGTATTACATCTGTTCAGATGCAGAACAGTAACAAAAAGTGGGCTCAGGTAAATGAATGACATGTTGCTTTAATATTTTTCCATAAATAAACTGTTATATTAATATATTAGCAATTGTTGCCTACCTTGCTCTTCAAATACACCTGTGCGCCCGGCAGCGAACGCCGGCAGTGAATGCCCGCGCCGCCAGATTCCACCACCTGACCGGCCGCCACGCCCCTGCAAGGGTGAGGGACGTGCTCCGGGCAGGGCAGAGCGTTGGGAGGCCCTGCAGCCTGAAAGCGCCGGCGGCGGCCGAAGGGCGGCAGCCAAAGGGCGGTCGCCGCCGTTCGGGTGCCGTTCGGGGGGCTGGGCTGGCCAGGGGGCTTGATTGGCTGTGTTATAATTGGCCCTCCTGCTGGGCTGCGTTTTACCGTGAGTTTTTAACTGTTTTTATAATTTTATTGTATTCTAAGCTGTTTTATGGAGTCGTCCCTGGCCACGTTGCCGCTTGTGCTTCCTGGGGAGCGCACGGGCGCCACCATTGGGGTGGTTTTGGGCAATGGACGTAACAGCGGTGGGAGCTTAACATGTCTGCATAGAAGAAGGAGGGACAGATGGTTGACACCTGTCCCTACTTCTGGTTTTGCCCCCAGCCAGAGGGTGCCAGGGAGTCTTGTCAGCCGCCCCTCGGGCCTGACGGTGCTGTTGCTTAATGCCAGGTCGGTCAATAACAAATCTTCCCTCATCCATGACTTGATTGTGGATGAGGGGGGCCGACCTG